AGATGTGTCGAGGAGAGTAGATATCTAGGTAATCTGAAATCACATAAAAATATTATAGGTAATACACATATTTCGAAAGGGTGGAGACGATGTTAGGGTTTGAAAATTCTGGACTAACCCATAATATTTCAATAATATATACTAGACCCGTTTTCTGCGCAGGATTCGACACTTTGTACCAGCGCTAGAAGACCAAGGCGGTGGTGGTGGTGGCGGCGACGACAACGAGGACGGCGATGTCGATGTGGAATACGAATCGCTTCGGAAAAGGCCTAGAGGAAGCTCGTGAGTCTGCTGCTGCACAGCTGCAGGACTATAAGCCTGTACCGGTGATACAGCGATCGACGGCGGCGTTGGCGACCACCTCATGATCACTCGTCGCATCATCTTTATTAATTATTTATTATGTAAACCACTAAACCATGAAGCAAAAGTGTATTAAAAGTCTGTCGGGGTTGCCGGGGGGCATGCTCCATGCTATTTTAGTTGATATGAATTATTATATCACTTGTAAAAAATAAATAAACACTATGTGCTGCATTATCGGAGATTTTTGATTTTGGCCCACCCCAGTTTATATTTCTGCAGGCACTCGTGTCGTTCGATCAGAATTGTAACACCACTGAGCACAATACATAATATAATATACCTGCGACCTTATCGAGTTGCGTACCATACACGTGTCGCACATAATATATTTATTTATGTACACGGTTTTATTGGCGAAATTAAATATTTATTATTTACATGTCCAAATAAACATCGAAAACGCGCACTCGTTCGTGTACACAGCAAATATATTATATTAAACAGTTTAGGTTTTTCGCCGACGCGGTACGAACATTAATAGCACAGGTACACTACAATATTACAATGATACACATCGTTGTAGGTATAGCCTCGAATAACTTTCATTGAACCTAACCTAACCTAACCTAACCCATTGAACCCGTAAGAAACTAATAAGTAGGTATCTTTAAGTGTAACCTATCTTGACAATAGTTTGTCGTCGTCACACATTTATGTTATTTAGCCTAGTCAAAGCAGTCGTAGGCGAAACGTTTAAAAATATGTATTTTAAATAAAATCGTCGTAGATATACCTACCCGTTATAAAAATGTTTGAACATTCTTGGACTCCAGATGAGATAAACAGCGATACGAATATGCAACGTATAAAGTACAAGTGCAATATGTTTGCCGTAAGTACCCACTTAGAGAGCCTTAATAATTATTAAGGCACTCTATACCTACTTACCTACGACCATAGATCTTATACTAGGGAACTAGATAATAACTGTGTATGACAATAGCATTACGAGTGGCGTAACATCTTGCAGTGAAGTAGGCTATCATCCTTACGATAAAATACAAAATAAAATTAAAGGTCTAAAAATCTTACTCTGCACTACAGTTCGTACGAGTAATCAAAAAGTGCTCTCTATATTGTAATTCTTTCCACACACTCGTGATGGCTTGTCTAGTAGCGTGAGGTCTATGCTTACAACCTACATACCTATATGGGGCTATATACAGCCGCTTTTTACAAGCAATTATTGTCTTAGAATTTAGATTGATGATGTGATTTTGTAACCAACCCATATAATACTCAATTTCCCTGCCCACCTGTCTAATTTAAACCACATACAATCACTTATTTGAGGTCCACACCTTCATAATATAAGACTTTAAAAATATAGGTACAGTACTTACCCAAAGTGTCTATACCGAATGTTTTTAAATCCTATACTATAGATAATTTATAATAATTTGTATTACCTGCTGTCGATGGTTTTGAAATTGACTCCTCAAAAATATATTGCCATCGTTCTGGAACCTTTGATTTCGAAATCCGTTATGCGGTTTACTTCCTAAAAGTTTGATACGTTGAACGCTGGCGGTTCGATTACAGATTAACAGTTATGTATGGGATAGGTGCTTTGCAAAGATGTTATGCTCATTTTCAGATTTCTCGACAACTTTCGAAAAATCCACGGAAATAAAAGGGAAAACCCGTTTTGTAGTTTGGAAGTTCCCCGCCATTTTCAGGTAAACCGAGGTGGTTGTGTTTGGTTTTTTTTTAATGTAAAGGTTTATAGATCAAGGGCACACAGCCCAGTGACCTTCCAAACTCCTATAATAATACCTGGTTAGGTTAGGTTACCTAAATTATGTTTCTTTCCGTATTAAATAATAAATATTATATTATAAATTATAAAATAGGTACAGCAGTAGCCTGAAGTGTGTGCATACTTGTTATGTTAATTGTTTAATCATTGAACAATAAATGAAAAATATAAAACTATAATAACAATTAACAAGTTCAGGTAAACAAATTTGTTAAAAATTGAAGATAATAATATTTTATTTTCAAATTGATAAGACTTGAAATGGGTAATGCGATAAAAAAAATATAAATGCATAACTATAATTAAATAGCATAATAAGTATACTACCTATTACTTATGTCATAATCATAGACCCTCTTGGCAGGGGGGGGGGGGCCAGAAAATAGTTAAAACTATATTTTATATATTTTACTTTATTAGTCCAAAAATAAGATTCTTATCTATCTTAGTGCCAGCATATTACACTACTATACAAGGTAATCACTATAAAAATTCCTTCTTTTGAGAGTTAGGAAATCGATAATTCAAGGAATTATATATTAGATGCAATAATAAAGTACGGTCTACAGGAGGGGCAGTTGCATACCCTGCCCCTCCCGTAGTACCGTCTATGGTCATAATATAAAGTTAACAAAATAATTAAGTTCTAAATGACAGCTTTCATACCTAGCTATTCTCATTTAAAATGTTTTAAAATATTGTATATTTAAGCAAATTGTTTGAAATATTTAAACCTAAGGTTTGTTTTCAAATTATTAGCTAACACTAATAATCACAACGCTTTGGTTTAATTTTAAGGTATTTGAGCCTGATAACAATTTATCATATAAGTAGGTTGCAAAAAATTCAAACTCTCCATAGTAAATATTAATTAAATTATAATGTATTATAGACAAAGATTTATAAATACAAATTGCTGTGTGGCAATAGATTAAATTATTGATATACTATATGCAGTAAAATTTTTTTTTATTAAAGTGCAGTATTTTGCAGTGTATTATGAAGTTATTTTTCAAGGTTACTACGTCTCAGTCTCAAATCTCAATAATAATATTATTTATTAATTGATTAATGTTTATCAGATATTTACAATTTTGTTCTGCTTGTATAGTGATTAACTGAAAAAAGTTATTTTATTACTATAGAATAAATTGTATTCAATAGCAATTGATTATTGTTACAATGCTAATAAAAAGGCTCCCAAGCAACATAACACATTGATTTTTATTAATACCTATTGAAATTATAAATTTTAAAATACTTTAACACAATTTATTTTGATATTCAAAAATTGAGTAAACGATAAGAAAAAATATATTGTAGGTATAATGTTTTGGCAATCATTGATATCACCCAGTTTCTTAAATCAAGCCTTATAGTGTATACATTATATATGATTATATATTATAATTTAAAATAATATAAAAAAATAACACCGTATATGAACAAATTAAACACAACATTTATTAATCGCAATAAGAACCCATCGTAGTTGGGTGGTGTTTCATTTTGGTCAAACTTAATCAGTACAAATTGACCGTTTGTTTGATAATATTACTAATATCGATTTGGTCATAATACAAATGTACAATATGATAGACAAAGCAATTAGTTATAATTCATAATAATAATAATAATAATAATAATAAAAACAAAATCAATGAAATTAATTTATACTATGAAACAATAGTATATTGCTTAGGTAATTTTTTTCTTAATAATACTAAATTAGAGGTACAAGACATTTTATGTACAATTTAGATTTTTATTATTAAATGTAGACATAACTTAAATACAACATTTTAACAAGTAACAAATACTGCTAAAATCCTTTGATTTGCAAACAATATGAATAAAAATAACTAATAAACAAATGGTTGGCTAAAAAAAAAAAAAAGGAACTTGTAACTCTATAATTGACATGTTTGGTAGTGGTAGTTCTAAACATTAATGTAGAGGTAACTAACAAAAATGATTGAAATAACTTTAAAGTTTGAAATTATACTTAAAATAAATTGCTGTAATAATGAAAAACAAAATATTTTATTTACGAATTATAGAGTAAAAAGACACATTTGATAAGTATGAAGTGTTTTTTAAAGAAAAATATAATACGTTACTCATGGCAGTGACCATTTCATCTAAAGGAAAATTGTTTGCTCAGTTGATTTTAACATATACATTTTCTAGTACTTTGGGTAATAGTCAAACATGCCTAAAAATGTATATAAATTTAATGGAATACATAATTCGAGATCAATATTATGTACATTAAAATGATTAATGCGTGGATTAATTAAAAAAATTTAAGGTGCTGGTAAATAATTGAAAATTTGAGTTAAAAAAATAATTTAGAGGTTACTTTGAGAAAATATTATAGAAAGTGGATAATATTCTATATTATAGTAATACAAATAGGAATGATTGATCTTCCGTAATTATTTACACAGATCTTATTTTAATTTAACAAGACAGGATTTTCAAAAAGATACTGCTACGTTTACTTACTATTTAATAGTAAAAAGAATAAAATGAATTAACTAAAACTTTGAGCATAATAACATTTGAAATATAACACATACAATTTTAACAGTTGCTTTGTTTTTATACACAATCATATTTTTGAGCAATATATAAAATTATTAATTAGGTAGGCAATGGTTAAAAAAAAAAGTTAAGAAAAACAAATAAAAATATAACTTATCAAGAGAAACAAGAAAATTGTACTAAAATTGTTAAGTGTAATATAAATGGACTTAAAATATATTTTGGCCCTTGTTTTTTGTCCAACAAATTACAATAAAATTTAATCATACGAATTTCTAATTGAAAAAAATTTATCTAAGATTTGTTTAACAAATAATTGGTATTGTTTTATTAAAAAATAACAGCCAGTGAGAATATCAACCGTCTACTGAGCCACTGGTCAGGTAATGTAATTTTTTTAGTACTGGTAATAATTGTTAACTGAAAATTAAAAAAATATATATGTATATTAATAAATGTAAAATACAAATTTTAAGATTATTTGAATTAAGTATTAATTAAGACTAAATTATATTTTCTTTTGTAGAAAAATCACAATATTCAAATAAGTTTTGAATTGTAATATATTGTAGGCCAGTTGGAATAACTGTTATTGTGCACAATACAATTACAAACACTTGTAAGTATTGTGTCTGTCTAAAACCTTGTCCAAACTGGTAAAAATGTACGTTATGCTTACAAGTTTTTCAAAAATGTTTACCTCACTACACATAATATACGTACGTCGGAAATGGGTCTTTTTGTGCCACAACATATATTTATGGAGTAAATATCACACAATATACATTTTAATAAGTGTGAACCCAACTAAACATACAACTTATAAAAATTGTGTCCAGCAGATTTATGTTGTAGAGTAATATTAAAGTCGACTGACCTATTAAAAAAACTTAGGGTAAAAAACTAAGGTAAAAATATATTTAGAATTTATACATTAGTTTTAGGTTATTTTAATTTTCAAATAAGTAATGAGACTTTAATATAGCAATATTTTACACTGTTGCTAAATAATATATAATATATATATAATATTTATTTGCTTAAAATTGAAACATAAAAAACTGATATACATACTCAGACTTTTAGTTTAACCTTATATGGGTAAATCATATAAATGTTAACTAACAACACAAAATTGGATCTGTAGAACACAAATTTACCACCAGATATGTTGGATGGAGATAGTAAATGGAAATGTGATTTACTCTTCATTTGTATCCATTACAATAATTGTTAATTTGTAATACAGAAGAAAACAAAGTAGAGCTATCATTAATTAAAAATGAAGTTTACTTTTTAGTAGGATAATTTTTTTATTTTGGCTTTGGCTTTATTTTTGGCTTCTTTAGTGTAGAAATAATGAAAAATATTGAAGATGGAACACTGAGCTATGATTTTATTTATTATTTATAAGGTTATGAAAACACAAATGTAACACATTCGTGGCCACTTAACTTCTATATCAGCACTTATATATTTTTTAGTAGCTGTAAACTGACGTAACTTTTTTATTTAGAAATATAAGATGAATGACTTCACAATCTCTTGAAATATTAATCTAAAATTACTTCCTGAAAATTTAGGAATGAACTGCATCATGCTTGAATGATAAATATTACATTTTGGAATGATGATCTCATAATGAATAACTTAAAAAATAACCTAACAATATACATAAATACATTTATCAGATTTAAAAAGTAATAACTTCATTCTTTAAAAAAATAGAGCACAAATTACTTACTCGACAATCAAAATGGAATACCTCGTAAGGCAACATCTGCTAAAGTTTGTAAGTTGACATTGGTGTCAGACGAAGTAGGATCTATATAAACATACATTATAACAATCAATAAACATTGAATTTGTGTTCAATAAAAATAATATATCTTGTATGTATACTAACTTGTATTATTTTGACTTTCAGCAAATGTTCGTGATACACGCTTTTTATAGTGAACATGTGTAGAGGTACTACTAGTACTGGATTCTGGACTTGATAATCTACTGGAACTAGCTTCTGAAGATATTGGTGAAGGCAGTCTTTTAGGTTCCTCAGCAGTTTCACATTTATTGTCATTTTCACTAAAATTATATAAAATAAAATAAAAATATTGATATTTAATCAATTAAGCAATAAAAAAAATACATACTTTGTTCTAAAACGTTTTTTAGGAACTACCATGATTGAAGTAGAATCTAGTTCTTTAGTTATATCATCAGAACTAAAAAAAAAAAAAATTATATGTTAAATACATTACAAAATAAGTACATGATATATTGTGTAATAACTAATATGAAACATACATCTGTTTTCTTTTATTATCTTCAATTATTTCGTCAGTGTTTTCTTTTAGTTTGCGCAGTGCAGCTGCTTTGGCACTATTTCTTGTTTCACGACGAGATTGAATTGGTAATGAACTTATTTCAGGAGCTTGATTATTTTCTTCTTTTATGTTACATTTCTTACCCTTACGACGTTTTGTAACTGTATCATCAGTGCTCACTAACTTTTTTGGTCCCCTAAAAAAAGATCGATTTGATTAATTTTTTTGATTATTAATAGATTTTTCAGTAATTACATTTTTTTATTTTGACGTTTTGATAATGTATCGTTCATGAATTGTTGGTAACGTACTCCTTTACAAGCCCTATTTATTCTTCCTCTAGGTTCATTTACTTCAATTTGTTCAATTAAGTTAACTGGTAACTGTTCAATCACTGTAGGGGTTTCTATAACGTTTGAGTCATTTGAGTCTTCTTCATTACGCCTTAAAGTGAATTTTTTGTACCCAGACCGATAATATGGTTCAGTCTTTTGATCTTGAGCAGTTTGAACACAGAGATTCATATTTTCCTCGGTGTCTAAATTATTATTCTTGGTAACATCACCAAAAGTACGTTGTAGGAACTCAGATGCTTCAGTATTTGGCTTTTTAGGATCGTCCTTGAAAGCATTACGGCATTGAAGAATAGTCTCTTTTAGGCATTTAGTAGATACCCCTAAATGGTTAGTAGGAGAGTGATTTTGGGAAGATAAATTTCTTTCTGCTGTATCAATTTGATCGGCTTCCTATAAGATTAAAAATAATATACAATAGACTTTTTTAGTGGCAAAACCATTAACCAATTTCTATGCCTCAACTATGAGAGCAGACATTGAAATCATACATTTTTAAATGATACAATTTATATACAATAATGAAATACATACTATGGAGCACCTTAACTTCTTTATATAAATACAGGTTGTCATATATTATAGAAACCTATATATTAATTTTAAGTAGTGGGGTTATGTAAATTATTCCACTATCCCAACCTTGAAATCATTAACTTTATATGTTTTACCCGATTTACATATTAAGATATTGCCAGAAATATTTTGGTGGTTAAGTGATAACTATTTTTTTCACTTATAGGGCTAGAAATGGTGAACAGTTTTAAGTTATTAATAAATAAAAAATTAGTAATATTCTACTAAAACGACAACTTAATCTACATGTATTACAAATATCTTAATTTATTAGTGAGTGTTAAAAATTAAACACTCATAGGCTACCTTCATACATTAGTAGCATTATAAATAATTACTAAAACAATCTTTAATCTCATGCTTAAACTGTGTTTAACCATAATTTTAATTAAACAACAGTACACCATAGACCTAAAAACTATAATTTAAACACTGTAAACGATTATAGGTCCATGCAGTGTAAAGATAGTATTTTAATTTGTGCATATACCTGACAAATTTTAAGGTCAATAAATCCATTATAATTATAATAAAATGAACACATTTAAAATCAAAGCAATTCAATAAATTGGAATATTACTATGTAAATGTGAGGTTAGATTAGAATGACAACAAAAGATTTTTATTTAATCATTTATAATTTAACATTTTGTTTACATTGTATTCAATAATAATACTGCTACAACTTTTACTGTTGTTTGCTATAGTAATCATGGATTAATTAAAACCATAAGATATATAATTAGTCATAAGTGTAGGTATTAATAATATTAAAAAAACTGTAAGAATATTTTCAATAAAGTTAAGTTAATGAATTAGGTACCTTATTAAATAACACTCAATGGTATGATTATTTAATAAAGCATCAACAAACATAGTACAAAACAGACTACAGAGTGGCTTTTTTATCGAAGAAACTATAAACCTTTTTAATGAAAATATTATTTTTTGTGTTTTTAAGTTGTTACAAATAAAATGTTTTCAGTTTTTTTTTATCTGTCATTTTTCAAGTTTCTACTTTTTAGTATGACAATATACATTTTTAATTTCTCATTCCATAGCAGAATAATTTTTGAAGTACTTTGATAAATAAAAATCAAACTTTGATCAAGTTGTTTATGAAATATAAGTATTTAAAGTTTAGATGGAGCAAAGTGGAATTTCAGTATTATCCAGCACAATGTAGGATCCTCCATTCATTTTATTATCACTAATAGTTTTTGAAATAACAAATGTTTTTCGATAAACAAAAATTATATATTTGATTTTAGATTTAAAAGAAGTCAAATGGAGAAAAATGAATTCTAATGAACTTAGTGTCAAAAAATATTATATTTTATTCATTCATTGTATTTTTTAACAGACTTTTATTAGAATGAAAAATAACTACATAAAATATAAAATATTTTTGATATTTGATTAATGATTAAACATTATAATTTATAACTAGGTACATGATTCATCAAATTATCAATCAATAATTATTTATAGAGAATAATATCTATATTCTAAAGGTACCAACCATTTTTTTTTTTTACTACTGGAAGTTATTTATGCTAAAAACTTAATATTAATAACTTAGATTAAAGATTTAAAATGATACATCTAACTGTACTCCTTATTGATAATTATCTAATGTAATACAAATTAAGGCATATTAATCTTACCATTTCAGCTTTTTCCAAAAACCTCTTTTTGGGGTAATAATATTTTATCTCACTAACTGTATCTTCCGCTTCGTATTGCATATCTGACCATGTAGTTGTATCCTTAAGATATGTTTCTTGACACTAAAATGTATAAAACAAACAATACAATGTAATAAAACAACAAAACAAAATAAATAGTTACTACATTGTGGAAAATAAATTGCCTTAAAATTAAACATTGGTAAATTCAATAAGTAATAAGTGCTTAAATAAATAAATACAAATTTCGTAAACTGATTAAATGTATTATTAGGATGTAGAAGATTGTTGGTTTAAAAAAGACTGAGTTAAATTATAATCAAGTAAGAACGCATTGAATATTTTTCTTCAATAAATTAGGATTTGAACTACTTTTCACAAAGAATAATTAAAAAACAATTTATTGTGACTAATATTTGACTATAACGAAGATAGTTACTTATCAGTTATCTTGGTATACTAAATAAATTACAGCCATATTTTAAAGAAAAAAAAAAATCATATCATAATTACAAATTTACTGCAGAAAATAAAACTGAAATATGATCTAATAGGCTTCTATAGTTTTTCAGATTTGGTAAACAAGTATTAACGTGAAGAAAATATTTATTGATCTACTATTTATTAAATTTCCTTACTGTTAATTTGAGATGAATATTTTGCGATGTACTATCAGACCAACTACTTGAGGGCATCCTAATATTGTTGTCACACGGTTCATTCCCCATTATTGAATTTCTACGTTGTACATACATCATCAGAGCTTTAATGGGTCTACAAGATTGAAAAGCCCCGTTGTGACTATTTTGATAAGAGTCTTCAAGACCAACATTAACGCTCATGGTAGTTAACAGATAATATAAAATATTATTTAACTAATAGATCAATTCGAAAGCTATATTAATGCTTTATCATAATCCAATCTGAAACATTAACACAAAAGGATAAGTTTCAAAAACAGTAATTGAAGTCACTATTTTTTAAACACATAATTCTGTACAAATTTCAAAAACAAACAAGACCGCTCTAATATTACGAAAATATCTAAAATTAGTAAAATTATAACCTGTATCCACCTTAATATCAACACATATTGAACATACAGATATAGGTTTTGGTTCAAATATTTACCTATACATAACACATATATTTTTCAGAATATTAAATGTAAAAATAACAATATTTTTAAAAATTTTAAAAGTTATCATGAAGAGTACACAGGTACTGCCTAGCACTCAATACAATAGTAACAGTAATCTTTGAAATTGCCAACAAATTTATTAGTTTTGTTAAATATTAACAAATTTAACTCTACATACTTACTAAAAATTGTCAATTCAATTAAAATGATATATTAAGTCACTTAATATAAGTAATCTAAGTCTCAATATATGGTAATAAAGTATATATTTGTTGAAAATGCAGTATTTAACATCCTCGTGTAGTGGTACTGTTAATCTTACCTAATTGTCAAATTTATCAGCAAAAGATATCTTGAATAATCTTATTTAAGTTATATGTGATTTGTAGACGACAAAAATCTGATGATCGAAATGTCCTTGTTCATCATAGATTACATCCATCATTAGGTAAATGTACCCACTCTTAGAATATTATCAGCTAAGTTTCGTTTCTACAAGTAAATGTGTAAGTTTTAACCATCTTTTATGAAAAGAAGATATCATAATAAAGTAATTAAAAGAGATGAAATGTCTAAACTGAAAGTTGAGACAATCTGAAAACACCAAATTCCCACCACCACCATGGAAGTCGACCCAATATGAAATTTTAATCACAAAAATAAAAGCTTCTGCTTCCTGGAAATTAAAAAATAGATTTAAATGAGCATCATATATATAATATATTATATATAACAATTGTTTGGAAATCCATGAAAACAAAAAAAAATTATCAGACTTGACATTTTCAGTTGTAATTTCTGGCTTCATTATGATTGTTGAGATATTTTGTTAAGTGTATTTCAAGTTCAAGAGTTAATGACACAATCAGCAAATTTCACTTTTACACTAATATGTTTGCGAAAAGCCTATGTTTACTTAGCCAAGTACAGAACCCAATATATATATATTTTTTTTTGTCATCATATCCAATCCATATTTTCCGTTCGCTTCTGAAAACAAGGATACACAGGCGATATAGGTAAAAATGTCGACGTAAACGTGTAAAAAAAGAAAAATCATAGCACGAGTGTCGTTTGTATTATTTTAAAAACAATGTTTAGTTAACACTAGTTAAATTCGAATGATAGTTGGGTATATTTACTATTTAGGAAGGTACCTAGTCGATAATTCACAAGTTGCAATACCATGCGCCGAAATTTTGCTAATAGAAGGGGAGAGAGGTGTTTACCTTCGGGCAACAATAACTTTCTCATTATTATAATTAGTTTCGTTTTCGTACATATTATTTATAGGTAAAAATATTTGTATACGTGTATACCTACCCGGGTCCCAAATAATCTAATGTAGAAATTGTATCGACCCGGGAGTGCCGAAAACGGCCGAGTACTACCCCCCACAACAAGTTGTTTCGAAAACGAGCAGCAGCAGAAGCAGGACGCGTCCAAACCAGACGTGAACGGTTACGCAAATAGTAAAAAATGCTTAGACCGGGTGACTATCCTCCGACGCCTATGATTATTGTCAATTTAATGATATTGCCGAAAACGACAAGCAACACTCGAGTAGGCATTAATTAAGTAGGTACCTATATACCTACCTAGGTACCATAATAACACTATACGACGGTATAGTACTGTGTGTAATACGATACATAATTATAAATATAATGTAGTATAATATAATATAATATAATATTATTAACAAACGATAATATTATATTAACGACTGGTCGCGGCGGTATTATTATTAGCGCGCACCGCACCGGGGCAGAGCGCGCGTCCGTGAGAATGTCAACCTTGAACGCTCGGATTTTGTCTCTATAAACTTGAAACTTGCGCGATCGACAAATCCGCCGAACAAATCGCAGGCACACACTACAGCAGCTCGGATGACTGTCGTACTCTCGAAGAAGTGATATACTACAATTAATACAATATAGGTATTAGGTAAAGGAGCGATACACATGCCGACGGGACGATGCCGCTGGCGGGCAAGCACGCGCCGACACACACACGCACATAAATATACATAATATATGATACATGTATATATATACATATATATATATATGCATAATACAAAGTACATAAATTGTAATAACGGTCTTCCGGGAAGCGGAAAACGAGAAACGATTTATATAGGTAATAACAGATGTAATATTGTAAATCACAAAAGTGATCAAAGAAACAATAATAATTAATAATAATCCTTTTTATGTAACGGGCACAGGACACGCCGCGGCGTGCCGACCCGAGGAGTTCGCTTACCGTTCCGGTTGTTATGTAGGTATGCGCGTTTGGAGTATAATATTGCAAAGCGATGGGTGTAGGCGGCCGCCGGCAGCTGCAGTCGTCGACCGCGGGAATTATCCTGAATCCTGGAAAACGAGCGACGGAGAGCGGAAAAAAAACAACCGAAATCGGAAAAACGAAAATCGGGTTCAACGGCGGCGGCACGTCGTCGTCGCACGAAAACTGGCGGCGAACAGAAGTGGAACGGTGGCACGGTGCACACCGCGGACGTATCGTTTGCTGGCGCGCGCGCACGTACGCATACACACTCAGACACGGGCGCGCACGCGAACCACCAACCGCACACGCTTACCGAACGCGGCGCGCAAGCGCAACCGCGATCTCTCAAACTGTCGCGCACACACACCTGTGCACACTACACACACACATACACACACACACACAGCATACACGCGCGCGTCGCGCCAGTGAAACGATTACGTTTTACACGAAAATTGTTTGATAAATGTCAAGTACAAGATTACAAGTCGGACGGCCCTGAACTAGGCATATAAATATGTGTGTAAAATGTGTATACACAATTACACACGTACGTGCCTGTGTGTGTGTGTGTGTGCGACGTAGGTAATTAACGCGCGACATATAATAATAATAATAATTATTATTATTATTGTTATTATCTGTAAACTATATGGGAACGACGCGGGTCTGCTGGCTACCGGGTGTTACGTGAGTCTCTGGCTGGCTGCAGCCTGCCACTACGGGTGCGTAAATGCACTAATGCGTGTCGAAATATCGAAATGACAATTTTATCGACGGGCTGTGGCGTGACGAGAAATATAGGCCATCGGGTGTGAGACGAATATAATATATAGGTAATCACTGTGCCGCCTGTACACCGCAAGAAATAAATATAATAATACCTTTCTGTCTGTCTCTATATTTCGAGAAAACGTTTGCGAATCTCGGCGGGCGACGACGACGACGGCGGTCGTGCCGAGCGACGTGGAGAGAACGACGAGGGGAGTGGGCGGAGGGGGAGAAAAAGTGGAACATATTGCACCATTACTTATATCATAACCGCGATCCTGACCCACTTACCACTGGGCGCATGCCGACGTCCTTAGAGCTTCGATTGTTCGTGCCGCCGACGGTTTTGCGCTGTCCGGACCAGACACCAATGTGGGAAATTCTCGATCGACCGTGCGCGGCAGACACTGCGCGAATCCCGAGGTTTTCCGGCCGGCAAGAACGGTTACGTTTTCAAAAGCGTGCAAAGGTTTTAAAAACTACTCCCGCACACCGTACAACAACAATAACAATAATAATAACAGTGTTATCTATATAGGTGGTATACGATGATAAACTCGTTGGCAACGAAAAATTCAAAAAACGGCCGCGACGATAAAAACGCAAGCGCACGTCGTATACGACTGTTTACGATTTAAAAGATATATCGTATTAAGTAATCGAACACGACATAAAAAGATGGTAGACCGCTTAAAATTGGACCTCCGGAAAATGGGCGGTCGAGATTTCTACTGTAATATGTATAGGTAATAACAATAATAATTCCCAACCTATTACGATAGAAATTAATATAATACTACTAAATTAATAAAACAACAATACCGTCGTCGGCGAGGGTCGACAGCCGCGGCAGACAAACACAGCTGACGCGGACGCGGAATCGTCGTCGGCACCACTAAAATATATTATAATAGTATTAACAAGAACGGATAACGGCGGCGCGGCGAAACCGAAACGCAACGGAGGAGGTAACGGCGACGTCGACGGTCGGTGTGTGCCGGACTGCCGGGCCGGCCGTGTTGCTACTCGGTACAGTGACGCGTGTGACTCGCCGCGCGAGCATGTGGGGGATAAGTGGATTGTGGATAACCGATCGGCGGCGGCGGCGGCGGCGGCGGCGTCTCGCAGCGTCCGGCTCCGCCGTGACGTCACGGCAGTCATCAGCTGTTCAGGGCCAATGGGTGGCGGCCCGCAGGACGTCCCCTCCTGCCACCGCCGACGGACGACGGCGCGTAACGAAGGGGCCGCGGGGAGGAGACATGCACGTCTGCGGCGACGTCGGTTTCGCGGCAATCCACACGCTCCTCGAGACGTACCTGCTGCAACAGCAGGCTGTCCCGAAGCGTGTACGGATAGCGTACGTGTTAAACGGTGTTCGCTGCGTGGTACGCGGTGTGGCACCACGCTTGTCCGATATACTGTTTATTAGGTACGCGGGGCGGGAATCGATACGGAGCGATGCCCTCCCGAGCGGCGAGTGCCCCATTAACGATATTTAAAAATATTTCGACAGAGTGGTACTAACTGTGGCAGTGGAACGAACGTTTTTTTTTTTTTTTTTTTATTAGATGTCTCCGTACTCGACTCCGAGCACATCATGTCGGGACACCGATTCGGTCGGGTGTCGGGGTGTGTCGGCACGCTACTATTTCACTGTCGGGCGCGTGGATAATGCGTTTCCGGGTTTCTGACGATCGGGTGCATCACCATCCGGCTGACCGTCGTCGGTATAGACGATTTGATAAAAATCAAAATACGACGATGGTCGGCTTAAAGTTAGGTAAACGGTTGAATAAAAAACAAAAACATTGGCTCGTATTGACGCTCCCCTCCCCCGCCCACCAATCGGTAAGTCCCGAGCATACGCGGCCGTGTCGTTACGGAACGATCTCGGAGGTCAGCGCTGACCAAAGCGAGACCAGATGTGCATTGCGTGATGTATTTTGTTATCGGCCGTCCAATACGGAATTGTGTTACGCGATAACTAGGTTTGCTGGGACAAACGTGACGTCACAACGCGTCTTTATTCCATTTTTTTGTCTTTTGCAATAACAATTATTATTATAGTACGAATTCCTAACATTTTGCCATTGATTAAATCCTATGTATAAGATACAATAATATAATAATAATACATAGTTAAGTAAGATATTATAATCATAGCGATTATTGACAAGTATATCCACTTCACATTTTATACATTCCTAAAAAATAACAAGTGGGTAAGTATAATATATAGCTGCTCCGAGGACTGAGATAACGCTGTTCGGAAAGAGTTAAAATATACGAATTGTGCTTATATTATAATAATATCGCTTTCTAAAATAAGTTTTTTTTTTAATTTTTGACCCATTTAATTTCTTGTAATATTTTTCATAGTGTAGGTAGGTATCCATCTTTATTAAATTGATGTTAAAATATTTTAAATTATTATTGACAAATTACAATAGTTCATTCTATTATTCTACATTACAACGTAGTATACATATAATATACTAGTAACTTGGATACATAATATTATATATTTTGATAACGTGTAAAAAATAAAAATCTTCCACACTAAAAGCGTTTAATAATGATAAATGGGCGTTAATAAACATAAAATATAAATAGGTACACAAAAATAAAAATGTATACATCACAAAAACTGGCCAAAATTAAAGATTTTCGTTTAGTTGTTTTCAGATTTAATCACGACATAATAGAAATTTATCATATCGTATTCGTTTCATTTCCTACAGTTAGTTTTTTTAAAATTGAATTGAAAAATGGTCTTTCTAGTTATATATTTTATACATAAATAATATAGTCTAATGCATATAGTCCATTCAATTAATTAATGCTACTAATTTGCCCGCATCTCTCGTGACCCACTTTTTAAACATTATATTAACATTCATGAAACTCAAGGGAACCCAGAGAATAAAGAAATCTAAATTTAAAATTATATGTATTATGTTAAATTACCTATATTTAATACATAAGAAAGCACGAATATGTATCAAATTGTTTTTGTCTAAAATATATGGGCAAGTGTATAAAGCTGCTGCATAGAAGTATGATGTTAAAAGGTTTGTAATACCTAATATAATATAATATAATATTTATGATACATTTATGCATAAATATTATATTATTATACACAAATAACCCAAAAAAATTTTATTCAGTTTATTATCTCCCTGTTTAGTGGAGTAGCCAGGATTATGCAAAAGGAATTTAAGTTTAAATTAAACTATGTTTTCGTACATAAATAATATAAATAATACATTTATTAGGGGGGAAAGCAAATGGTGGGGGAGAGTTTTGAATGCGCAAATCCCTCCCCAGCTGCGCCACTGTTCCTGCTTCGCATACATGTAAATTTATTATGGATGTCAGTTATTCAAGAATTTAAGTTTATTCCAATTTTTTTTTTGCGAAATAAATTTTATAAAATTCAAACGTAAAAAATGTAATTAAACTTTAACAATCGCTAATTATGACATGAATGTAAACTGCTTATAAACAATTAGTATGAGAAACCAGCATACTGCTATTATACATAGTATGATATTTGAGTAAAAATTAAAACGTATATTCTGCAGGTCTTATACACAATTGGAGAATAGAGATAACGATACTGATAAATGATAATGAAATAATGTTTTTATATTCACTAATTATTACTCATGCAAATATGAGTCGGTATAATACCATTATTTGGTAATAATTAATAAGTAATTACTTAAAATAATAAAAATTTGATCGAGTAAGAAACTAATAGGAAATTCAGTACGCGAGCAGCACGTATGTTAAGATGCACGCACATACGTACACTATATCGGGTATGGAAATCCAAAATTGAGATGTGTGTGGCGTAGACAATCCAAGCCCTTCTGTAGGCCACCGAGCGGGCCCTCGGCCCTGGTCCGAAAAAGAAAATTTTGAAGCAGGCTGACCTGGACCGTGAAAATGTATTAAAAGTGTGGGATGGCTGCTACTGGACTCAACAGGCCGGTCCAGCTGCAGAGGTCCAATAAGATTATCCAAATAATACACAAATTATATTTTTTTGACGATTCCCTTGTCGTAGCGATTAGTAACAGTAAATTATTACGTATACCACTATACCCTGAAATTCGTATTTTGGATTATTTAAAGGTATATGGGGAAAACAATCTATAAGAGCTTGGTCCGTCGTGCCAAGACTCACAGTCCAAATTCGATACTTAATATAGTGCATGTTCATATTATGCACATTGGGAACCTCTAGACAGAGATAACAAGTTCGGGTACGACGTCCCCTTAATAGAATAGGTACCTATGTCCTAAATTAGTCATTGTGAAATCATCATATTATACGATTATTGATTTTATTCTATCATATATTATTTTAATGCTTCAAAAACTGAGTTTGAATAAAAAATATAGTTTTTTATTGATTCATTTTTACAATCCCAGAATATTGAGAAATTTTACTCTTGACTTTAGATTCACTTTTCTATCAGATAATGTTTGATGTTGAAGATTGAAGCATTTTTATCGCGCTATGATATGGTGATGATTGGATGACACAAAAACAACACACACTGTAAAATCAAAATATTAATCGTTCTACTAAGAATTTTGTTGAACAAGGAAAATATAGTTAACGATAATTTTATTATTTTTATTTCCAAGTACAAATGTCAAATAATATATCAATGAACAACGATTATATTATACATTATAAGTTAATAGTTATCTAATTAATATATTACATAATGTTTGTGCTTCGTATTTATTTTTATTAAATAATTATTCCTAAATAGGAACTTTATTTTTTTTAACATTTGGTGAAACTAAAATAATCAATTCAAATTATTGTTTATCATTCACGACTAAATATTAGATTTACCATATACGTATGGGTACTGATAACTTTTTGGTATTTCAGTTAATGTATCATGTACAATGTATAATTTTAAACAATGAAAATAAATAAATAAACGTAATTTTACAACTGAAAAGCCTATAATACGTAATAAGTAAATTATTACTTATTAGTCATTATCAATAATTATAAATATTACTAGATAATATAAACTTCGACATATAAATAAAAATGTTAATCAATATTCTGTGTAGATATTAAATAAAATCTCATTTAGATTATAATTTCTAATTTCTTCATTAATTACTACAATTTTAAAAATAATTAATTGTTCATTAAAATATATGAGTAAATATAATAAAATAATGTACATATTAATGTATTATTATATTACTTATGCGCATATTATAATTAAAATATTAAAATTGATATTTGCCAATCAAAAAATAATACAGTTAATATTAAAAAGTAAGTATATATTTTTTTACTGTTTTATGGACAGCCATTGTATACCGTAGATAAAATATTAAAATGTAAAATGATCTAACAAAAACTGTATAGGCGTATAGCAGCTTATATATCAGGTATAATATGCACTTAACAGAGTGGGTTAAGACTAAACTAGTAAGTATATAAATATTAAGTACTTAAAATAGCTAAATATGATTGGTTATTTGTTGTAATTATGTGCTAATATACTTTTCAACAAGTGTAAATGGAAATATCCATTATTTTCTGATGGTCTAAATATTTATATAATTACTAGTAGTACACCAATACTATTGTCTACTACAGAACTTAGCAGTGGCGTTGCTTGGGAGTGGGAATTGAGGATTTTTCGGGTGTTGTTTCCCTCATTTTTTATGCAAAAAATATATTTGTTATATCCTATAGGTTTCTACACAATATATTGTCAATATTTTTATGTTGATGGACGGAACTTCTCTATTTCTC